AGAATATTGTTTCAAGACATCTTGCTATTTGTGTCAATACAAATAAATATTTAGCATTGATTATACAACAGCGAAATATCAATGGCACGAATGAGACTTCCTTAATGCTCTAAAGGATAATATCTCAATTTCTCCAACATGTATACAATTCCCACTACGAGAGTATCTTGCAGAATGATAATGATACAAACAAGATCCACTATTTTTTGCCAACTACTGGAATCCTCAAGGCAATCTGAAGTGTATGACCTTCCTCGTATCTCACGGCCAGGCACACAAGGGACAGGGATAACGGTCATACAGGATGATCTATTGCGTCTTCTGTCTTCTAAAAAACTAAAATCACTCATACAGGGTGCTAGATGTGAGTAGGAAGATCAGATGCGACGACTGTCGATCCCACTCGCCTTCCGTTTAGAGACATGGCTTGCAAACGGATGGCTGAACCCTGCATTGACCATGCTCATGAGCATCATCATGGTTATTACTATTTCTTACTATATCAACAACGCCTCCTGAATAGGTAATAAGCAGGCATATCCCTCACTGTCTGTGTGCCTGACCTAAGACAGGACCTGCAGTGTACATCTGCGGGCTTAGATCAGTGGCGAACACCCGATAGCGAAGAGCAAAACCACATCCTCAAACAAGTGGCACACCGAACCGAAACGAGCTAATGCAACTACACTGCCACGTGGGGATCCTATTCCTGTCAATGTAACATAGGTAAAGTAAGTGTTTTGATTGATCTGCTGCAAGTCTTCGGGAGCTAAGCAAACACCATACTACCATAGATGCGGCCTGGGAGATGAGTAGAGTGAGGCCTGGCATTTGCCGTTGTCCGCAATCTTTAGCATACAAAGTGGTACGTTACATCATTGCTCTATTATTCCCGCTTCCTGCGAAGCTGCGGTGGTGATTGCATGTGACGTTCCCTTTACATTGCCTGTGCCGATGCTGTCAGTGCTGTCAGCATTTATGATGCAGCTCAGATCGGCCCCCCTTTTTGCCACGTTTTTGTGGATCAGTGGTGGATCCCGATGGCTTATGAGGCTAGGAACTCAAATCCATGATGAGTTCCTACGACAGGTAGTAGGCAAGTAAACTAATTCTAGATGTCTTGGGCTTTGTATAGTAATCATAGTAAGCAGTCAGAGTCCGCCATGGCGTTTCCAGAATGTACATGGCTGGGGAAGGAAGCCAACCATCATCTAGCTGGCTGTTAAATCTCATTCGAGGGCCCAGTAGGGCTGTGTCTGGTAAATAACACTGATATCATTGAGGTAATATTCCATATTACTCGAACAGGTCATTGTCTCGGGTACGTACATGGCTATGCTACACCAATTGTTTGGTTCCGAGCCCAAACTAAACAGCCTTACCACCATGGCTCAGCTAGCAAAGTCTCAGACAAAATGAAACTGCGCATGGCAAATTTAGATTGTCTGACCTCGTGTTCGATCAGCGGTTCAATCCTACAGGTGTTCCTGCTGCCCATGGCGTCGTCAATTGCCAGCATAAGTTGAGAGAGAGGGACCGGTGTAGTTTCTTCTTCCACCAAAGTCCTTCTGTATCTTTAGATCTATCATTGAAAAGTAAGGGTGTGTGGACAACATGATCGACTCTCAAGTTTTGTCAAATTTCGCCCTCAAGGGACTCCTACTGGGTTTCATTGTACTGAGCTGCAGCGTGTGTCTCCTCATCTCCCCACACCATTTGGGATATGAATACCATTGCTAACATTCGAGATTAACAGGCAGCTGGACTTTGCATTTTTCGACTTTTCTTCCACCCCTTAGCCAAGTATCCCGGTCCCTGGCTGGCAAAGATCACCACTTTGTATGCCGGATATCATGCATGGCGCGGGGACCTGCATCTTGACATGTGGAAATGCCACGAGAAGTACGGTGAGTATCTCCGATTATTCATGGCATACAAATATTGGAGTACTAACGCCAGTTTCTCTCTGCTCTTAGGTGACTTTGTCCGATATGGACCTAATAGCCTCCTTGTCAACACTGCCGATGGACTCCACGACATATACAGCCATGGGAAGAATTTCAAAAAGGCTCAGCGCTATGCTGCCATGGTGCATCGGGCCCCGAACACATTGACTGTGATTGACAAGAAGAAGCATGGCAAGAAGCGAAGAGTCATTAGCCAAGGCTTCTCAGACTCCGCACTCAAGAATCATGAGGTGGTCATCCTGGAACAAATAAAGCACCTGTGCAACCAGCTGAAGGCAGGAGAGGGAGGTAAGCCGGTGCCAGCAGACACCTGGTCTACACCGAAGAATATGGGCCGAATGAGTATGTGCCTCCCACTGAGATAACCCTAACATCCAATGAAACTAACACAGAACCATCTTTTCTAGCCGACTACCTCGCCTTCGACGTCATGAGCAACATTATCTTCGATTGCCCCTGGTCAACCCTGCGTGACCCCACATTCCGCTTCGTACCGGAGGTGATCGAGAAGTCCAACGTCCGAGTCGGAACCCTAGCTCAAGCGCCCGAGCTCAGCATTTTCCGTCTGGACAAATACCTCTTCCCCGAAGCCATCAAGGCCAGGAACATGTTCATCAGCTTTGTCGAGGTGATGCTCACCCAAGGCATCGAAGCAGCCTCCAAGACAGGCAAAGGTGTCTTCGCACTCCTCGCAAAAGCCAAAGACCCGGAGACCGGTCTCCCGCTACGCAACCGAGAACTAGGCGGCGAGAGTGCGACGCTGATTGTCGCGGGAACCGACACCTCCTCTACCGCGATGGCGGCCTGCTTCTTCTACCTATCGCACAACAGGGCTGCCTATGAGCGCGCAGCGAATGAAGTTCGCAGTATCTTCACTTCCCCAGACGAGATCCGCATGGGCCAGCAAATGAACCAATGCGTGTTCCTGCGTGCCTGCATTGACGAGAGCATGCGTATGTCCCCATCAGCGGCTGGATCGCTGTGGCGCGAGGCCGAGGAAGCAGGAGCTACTGTGGACGGACAGTATATCGCCCCTGGTGTGGATGTGGGAACCTGCATCTACAGCATTCATCACAATCCAGCCTATTACCCTGAGCCGTTCTGCTTCCAGCCTGAGCGCTGGATCGCGGATGAGTGTCGCTCGGTACAAGGGGATGTTGGGCGCGCGCGATCAGCGTTCAATCCCTTCTCAATCGGGCCCCGAAGTTGCATCGGGAAGAGTCTCGCTTATGTGGAGCTTCACCTTGTGTTGGCGAGGGTGCTTTGGGAGTTTGATATCCGCCTTCCAGAGGGGTATTTGGGGAAGATTGGTGAAGGAAAGGTGGGCGCTGAGTTTGGGCGGCATCGTACTGATGAGTATCAGCTCTATGACCATTTGACTGCTGCGAAAGAGGGGCCATACTTGGAGTTTTGTCCCCGAAATTAGGAGTAAATGTGCATTGGTTTGCCAGAAATTGGGTGTTGTATTTCCGGTCGGGGGTTAGGCGTTTTGGTACTATCATGATTTTTTATCGTTAGAGAAGTCGTTTCTTCCCTATATGTACTCAATTCTTGTGTATTACGCAAAGATGCCATTCACGAAATACTAGACAGTGTGTGAAGTAAGGACAGACGTTTTTAACGGCCGTTATCGCCAGACTCGGTGTTGTGTACAGAAGTCAAATGACAGGGCGCTAGAAGGGGACGTTATGATCGCAAGAGTCAATGAAATCATTAGATAAGACCGGCTTGCGACGGTAGATACGAATTATATCATAGCGAGAAAATAAAGACCTCAGAAAGCATCTAATGGTTCATTCAGTCCAGCATAAGCCTTATTGTGGGGCAGTTAATTTTGCTTAACCATTCAAAATATTGGTCAGGGAGGCAATTGAAAAGAAAGTCATTCCCTAAGGGCTTCCGCAAACCCTGCCATGAAGCAAACTTACGATCGCATCTGGCTGGTGGACAGTACAACTATACCACCTACCTCATATTACATTATCAACACGATGCAGTGCTCTTTTTAAGAAATGGAAGATGATGTGATAGAACAGCAGGAATATACACGAGTAACTATGAAATGGCCTGGCCACGATTACTAGACTAGGCAACAACAAATATACCCTGACAGACCAGCGCAGTCTCAGCCCCATCCAGGGTCCTCCAGAAGTATAGCCAGTGTGTCACTCAGTAGCCGCTAGGCATTTAGATAAGCGCCTGTGCACGGCGGGGGTCAGTCCTCATCGAACAACGCCTGGAAGATTTGTCTCTTTCGGGCAGACAAAGTGGGGCTTTCCGCCCTGAGAGCATCTGACCACTCAATTTACTTGAACTGCAGGGGTAAGTAGATGGACGTTGAGAATAATAAAACATTGAAAGGGCCTGTATGGCTTTCTAGGTAGATGGACTGGATAGATTCTGATTTTGAGCTATATGTGTGAACATTCTAGTATTTGGGTGCCCGTCCATCGCAAACGTACATCGTGTCCCAGGCAGAGCAGCATTGACCAGGTGGACAAACCACCTCCGCCATAAGGCTGCGCTAGTGTAGAGCCACTTCCCACTAACTGTGTGAGTCCAACCCAGAATACAAATGTGTCCACGACTTAGAAGACCCATATTTGAAAAATACCGGGATTCTAAGTGCTCACTGGTCAACCCAAGTGAGACATCCCCCACCTCGATCGGGAACATCCGCTCGATCAGGATTATGGTTGCCTGCGCCCTCATACCAGTAGTATACAGCCCACTGGGATAATACCTGGATTAGAATGGATAGCGATCACCAGCCCTCTCAGAGGTGCTGATGTAGGTGGTTTACTGTCCTTTCGGGAGCCCTAGGCCCCCGACAGGTGCGACCTATTGGCAGTAGAGAACTAGCTCGAACGGCCTAAAGAATGGCCTTTGTATGTTAAAGTTGTAGGCCCAATAGGTCCGGGCAAAGGGTCTTCTGACATATGTTTAGCTTGGCTTGGACTTGTTAAAAGGTATAAAGCTGCCTGCCTAGTCTCCATCGACTGTTTTGTTCTGTTGCATCGTCCAAAACCCCGATATACAGCAGCCTAGCGCCCAGAACAAGGGAAAGGCAAGGAACGATGCTATCGGAGTACTGGTCAGAATCCCCAAAGTAGTCTTGTGTGCTTCTTTACGAGAAAGAGTAGCTAACGGCGTCACTATCTAGTCCCAGCTATGGAGTGAGCATTGCCTAATTACGGCCAAAGCAAACAAAGACGGCTTCTAACCTTCAAAGCCTCTCTTCGGAGTCCTTGGATGTACAAGCGCCATTGTATTCACGAGCATCGGGGCAGCCTACGGAACCGCAAAGGCCGGGGTGGGCGTTTGCTCATCGGGCGTCCTGCGGCCGGATTTGATCGTCAAAAGTATCATTCCACCTATATTACCCTGCGTGTAGTGTTGCATGAGCTGATCAGTGGAAGACATCGTTCCCATCGTTATGGCCGGTATCCTAGGCATATACGGCCTGGTGGTTTCAGTACTGATTGCCAACAACCTCGCGCAGGAGATGGCTCTGTACACGAGTCTGCTTCAGCTGGGTGCCGGTCTGGCGGTTGGGCTTTGTGGTCTGGCTGCTGGGTAAGTAAGCTTTATTTGAGCATGTCAGTTGGTATCAGCTAATGAATATCGGCTGGTTAATCGCAGGTTTGCAATTGGAACTGTAGGCGATGCAGGGGTCAGAGAAACCACGCAGCAGTCGAGGCTTTATGTGGGCATGATTCTTATTTTAATCTTTGCTGAGGTCTTGGGTATGTGCCTCTGACATGTGTTTATCCCAGGAACGGATGGAAGCTAATGCAGCGGGATGGTATGATAGGATTGTACGGCTTGATTGTCGCGCTGTTGATGAACTCCAGGGCAGGCGTTGTCGACTTCACGTGCAGTGGCTGATTCTTCAAGATTCAATGTGGCACGCTGGATCTGTGGGTACAAGGTTGTGCATGTATCCCAGTACTCCACCGTTCGATCAGTGGTGAAATTTCTGGGCATGATCCGGTTGCTCTCTTAGTTCGTGATCGAGCATCCACATATACCCTGCGTGCTGGGCAGGCATTACTTGCACCTCCAGATGTCCTCATACAAGGACTTCCATTCTACACAGCATATGGGTTTTTGTCTGCTAGAAAACGTAGAAAATGTCTACCAGTGACTTCACCAGTCATGAGCCTAACAGGCATCATAGTTTCAAGAGAATTGGTAGATATCTGATTAGCTTGCGAGCTTGTCCTCGGTATGCCATGGAGAAAATTATGAAAATCTTAGCACCCTTCCCCAGAAAGTACAAGTTGTCCTCGGGCATGAGAAAGGCACCTAGCACGGCACCCCTAGGTCATTTTCTGGGATATGGTCGCATCCGGTTCACATGAACGGGCGATGACAAGCTCTACAACTAACCTACAAGACTCCTTCTCAACATTAATAGAAGTACCCATTCATTGTATTCATTCCTCGTAAAAATCGTAGAAATATATTATAAGAACCATCGGAACCCGACAGCGCCCGGTCCATCGCGCAACCGTTCAGTCGGGACATCCTGCGCCCGCATCCTGACACCCTCCTTACGATCCCTCCGGTGATTATCCACAAGCATATATACCCCCAACAGCGCCGCCAGAATAGCACCAGTTCCCCCGAATGCGCCCACTGTGACGAGGGCAGGCAGATACTTGGGCTTATCTTTCTCCCGGAAGACATTACTCGACACCAAGCCCATCAGGTTCGCCAACGGCACACCAATACTCGTCAACAGCACACGCTTGTTCTCATCTGCAATGTTGTTGTTATACCATGTGGAGAGCAGCACCGACGGTGCTGAGGTACCCCAGGTCATCATGAAGGTGGCAAAATACGCTAGGTGGATCTGACGATCGACGTCATCGATAGCGGCGTAGATCATGAAGCCTGTAAAAGTGAGGAGGAAGCCTAGGACGATGAAAGGAGCGCGGAGGCGGACGGCGTCTGATGCAAAGGCGAGGACGATGAGCATGACGGCTCCAGTGACATTAGGGGCCACAGTGTAGAGGTTTGTTTTGACGGTGGAAAAGCCCAGGCGTTGAATGATCTGGGGCATGAAGAGGGCGACGCCCTGCAGGGGCACACCGAGACAGATTTCGATGGCGAGGAAGGCGTATGTTGAGGGGTGTTTGAAAATGCCGAGAGCGGAGCGGAGGCGGAAGGGCTCGTCGACGATGGCGGAACTGTCCACTTGAATGCGGTGATGAGCGAGAAGCCTCTCGTCTTCGCTGAGGAAGGAGGCTGTGGAGGCGGAGCGAGGAAGGTACCAGAAGGCGAAGCAGGAGAAGAGAACGGTGACACCGCCTTCGAGAATGAAGAGGTAACGCCAGTCTGGGAGCGAGGAGTGTTTGATTTGGAAGACGCCGAAGGCGAGTAGGCCGGAGAAGGCGTTGGCAATGTTGCTGGCTGCGTAGAAAATGGCGAGGCGACGGGCGAGCTCGCCACGTCGGTAGAAGGTCGTGAGGTAGTAAATGACTAGCGGGAAGAAGGCCGCTTCAGACATGCCGAGGAACCAGCGTAGAGCGAACATGCCACCGAAGTTCTTGGTCGCAGACGAGAGCAGGGTGAATGAGCCAAAAGAGAACATGAGCACGGGCAATACGCGTGCGGGACTCCAGCGCTTGCCGAGCATGGCAAATGGGGGCGCGAATACAACATATGGGACGTAGAAGATGGATAGGAGTAGGTTATATTGGCCGGGTTTGAAGTTAAGATCTGGTAATGTTAGCGACGGTAGATAAAGAAGGAGCGAGGGGTAGTTTACCATCGCTCATGCCGGCGGTTTCGGCATTACTGAGGTTGCCTTTATCCAGGGCATTGAAGAGGTCTAAAGTTATGAGCAGGCAAGTAAATAACATCTAGATAGATGTACGTACACATCAATGCGAGCACGGGAAGTATACGGAAATCGAAGCGGCGACAGAGAGCCCGTTCGGCCTTGTGGTCGATGACCTGGACGACATCTTCGACGACCCCCGGGACAGAGCCGTAGCGGTCGATGTGTGAAGCATCGTCAGTGATGGAGTCGCGTGTAACCGACTTTTGGACTTTCGGCGGCGGATCCGAGGCTTGGGCGATCATGGTTCCTCCCGACGGCAGGTGTATGTTTAGAGCTGAGAGGATAGGAAGGGGAGGTTGGAGGGAGGGGTGTTTTCAAGAGGTGACGATGCAAGGAGGGAAGGGAGAAAGACGGTCTGCTTTATGCATAAACAAGAACGGACAGGAACAGGCTTATCAGCCGGCCGTGAGGAGGATAACTGGAACCCCCCACGGCTTCTCCGCAGATCTGGCGATGCGACGACGACGGATGCGGCAAGGTTGCATCGCGGTGGCCCTTATCAGCCGGGGAGATAGCGTTGGGCGATATCGGCTGCGATGTTAGTTATCAGCACCCCTGTCAGTGCTCGAGATAACTCAGATTAAGGGTCTTGGCTGCGTGTCACCGCTCGCCCTGCAAGATACACCTATGTAAGCAACTTGAGGAAGGATTAAAACCATCAACTTGCAGGGTCATGAAGGGAGTTGAGGATGAGAGAACAAATTGAGTTTGCTTCTTCACTGAGGTTACATTGACCCTCATGTGAACTTCCCCGCATTCAAGCTTTGCCATGACGCGGACCGACTCTATCCATCCCCTGGATACGAGATGCAGGCCTTCAACATTTGCCGAGGTGCAGACTTCCCGTGACGCACGGTGACTCTCCATGCTGTCAGTGCGCTGGCCTGGTACGGAGCACTCAAAGTCAATGACACGGAACATTTCCACGTTGTCTGTTGACACCCGGCGACTGATCATCTTCCACAGTCTAGTCTCTACTCCTTTCTCTTATGCTAGTCCTTCCCAGACAATTGCAACCTCAGAGGTAGCCATCGTGGGGATGTCCCTTGGTGCATTGCGATGACCACATTTGGTCGGAGAAAGCCATTCATATGGCACGAAGAGAGGCCGTACACTCAGGTGCTGTCCTCCGGTATTGAAAGATCAACATACCTTCTTCATCAACCGGTATCTATAAGGCAGTCATACTACGATAAAGGCACCAGATAGTATGGACAACAAGGTAGCTCAAGGAAGCCCACCTCTTGCTAGGCGATTTGAACAAATCTTAACATCGTTCCTTGTCCAGAGGTCTGATTAAATCGTGACCATAGTCAGAAATTCCTTTCTCGGTCGCTGCAATCTCCAGTCGCGACCAAGCAAGGGGGCAGAAGCTGGCCATGCGTGGCAGCCCTTCTAGCTCTAACAATTCCAGTAACAGAAGCTCCTATTATGTGAAAAAAAAAAAAAAAAAAAAAAAAAAAAAAAAAAAAAAAAAAAGAAAAAGAAAAAGAAAAAGAAAAATGCCCGCTTCATCTGCAGATCGTCAACAATGAGATCGAGAGCGATGGAGCTATCTCCGACCAGTCGTCCGAGGTGAATACACGGACTGATCTGTCATTAACATATACCACCCGGTCTTGCGATCGTGGGCGTTGCTCCGTTTGCGCATCCCTTGCTTGCTGAACTCTGCATAATTTTGGTTTGGGCTAGACGCGAGGCGCATAGCTCTCGACACCCAGCGAGGATGTCTTTCTGGAACCGATTGCAAAGCACAAAGCCTCCGTCCTGACAAGCGATCATCAATCGCTCTATCTCGATATAAGCGCTGTGGATAATATATGTGACTGGATGAGTGCTTGTTGTGCTGATTCTTATTTCTGTGGGACTTGTAGTAAGCATCCTCTAGAAGGTCACAGACAGTCATCAGATAACAACGACAGGCAATGGCCAGCGCTTGGTTACGCATTGATTTTGGCAAGGCGCACGGCCAGCACTCTTCTTACTGGCCAATATCATCAGAAATGATGACGATATAGTGGCATTTCGATTATCCAGATCCAAGTTGCTAGGTAGTTACGTATTGACGCTATGATCGGAAATCTATTTTGCCATTTCTTGGGCTGATAAAGCGCCTCGAACTGGTGGAGTTGCGATGACTTGGTGTATGCCAGAGGCGACATGTTTGTGGTGGTTTATGTAAGACAGTCGGGGAACGGAGCAACGGAGACTTACCCGGAGACTTTTGCCCTAGTACTATAGACCGTGTTATTACTCCGGATTGGGACTGACAAATCGACTCCTGGACAGCATCAAATGAGGCTGCATTTGTGTTTAGATAGATCAGCTTAGCAGCGTCCTCTTTAGGTCACTCTCTTCGCATTGCCAAAATGTACTCCCTCGTATCGCCTCAAACCTCTTCCTCCATCGCTACCGTCGAATAACACTCACATCGATTCGCAATGGCTACCTCATCTCCAGGAGCGCAGGAAATTGCGTCGCATGATTTAGAAATGTCATCAAGACGTGCTGATGGTAAATAACTCTCGAAGATGTCTCACAATAGCTGGAGGCCTTATCAATCCATTGACTAACTGATAATGATTCAGGTGTAGTTTCTGAAAAGACTGCTCCGGATGAATACGTCTACATTGCGGATAGATACAACTTGCTTCGGCGGATCATCTTCATCATGACGGTGTGTTCATCCATGTTCACCAATCAGCTGGGCCTATGCAACAGCCTCACGACTCTCGAAATAATCGGCGAATCCTTTGGTGTCACTGCTCCTGGTCAACTCTCGTGGACAGTGTCTGGCTACGGCTTGACTCTAGGCACATTCGTGTTGATCGGGGGACGTCTGGGCGACGAGTTTGGCAACAAGGCAGTTTTTATCATCGGCATGGGCTGGCTTGCTTTGACCAGCATGATGGCAGGAGTCTCTGTTTATTCCAGCTGGCCCGTCTTTGTCCTTGCTCGAGTCCTGCAGGGCCTTGGTCCCGCGTTAACTGTGCCTAATGCACTCGCTATCTTTGGCAAATGCTTCTCGCAGGGCCCTCGAAATATGGGATTTGCATGGTTCGCTGCATCAGCTCCAGTCGGTGCGATGGCAGGTCTCCTCTTTGGGGCCCTCTTCGCCATGGCGTGGTGGCCATGGATATACTGGAGTCAGGCTTTGGGGGTTGCCTTTCTCTTCGTGCTCGCCATATTTGCAATTCCAAACATGCCTGTTGAAGGTGAGAAGAACCAGCGACGAACAATACGAGAAACCTTAGACCGCCTTGATCTCCCGGGAGGTGTCACCGGGGTGACAGCCCTAGTTCTG